TTCAAGCTGATTGGAGAAGCAGAGCGGCAACAATATCAGTTCTACCCTATAGAATTAGTGTTGCCCTGAATTAGTTACGCCCCTTCTGCCTTTTTTTGGGGGGAGGGGGCCAGGCAGAGTTAGTGAGACAGAGAGAAAGGTCTTCCTTCTGTTGGTTCACTCCCTTAATGGCTGGCGCTGCGCCACTGATCCGAACCCAGGAGCCGGGTACCTCCTCCCGGTCTCCCATGAGGGTGCAGGGACCCAAGCACTTGGACCATCCTCCACTGCCCTCCCGGGCCACAGCAGAGAGCTGGACTGGAAGAGGAGCAACCAGGACAGAATCCGGCGCCCCAACCAGGACTAGAACCTGGGGTGCCGGCGCCGCAGGTGGAGGATTAGCCAAGTGAGCCATGGCGCCTGCCCTGCCTGCCCTTTAAAAAGTGTATGTGGACGTGGCCTAAGGAAAGAAGCAAAATTGCATTTTGTTACGTTGTGCAGTTCCTTGCATAGATTCCAGTTCCGGTTGGGGCCCCGGGTTCTGTCCCGTTTCCCTCTCCCAGGCCAGCCCTCTGCTGTGGCCCGGGAGTGCAGTGGAGGATGGCCCAAGTGCTTGGGCCCTGCACCCCATGGGAGACCAGGAGAAGCACCTGGCTCCTGCCTTCGGATCAGCAGCAAGGAAAAAAAAAAAAAAAGTGTATGTGGTCGTTAAAATGGACATGTTCACCAGAACTTGTCTCTGGTGCTTCTTGCAGAAGAACGTAGTCACTCCACCATCCCAGCAGTTTGTGGGCCTCACGGGTCGAGCTCAAAGGTAAATTTGACAAAAGATGTGAAAGATCTGTACACTGATAACTACAAAATATGACTGAGAGAAATTAAATACCTAAATAATGGGAGAGATATTCCTTGTGCACGGGGTCAGATATGTGTCAGACATATTGTCAGAATGTCAGTTTGCCCCAGTTTGGCCTACAATGCAATTATGATCACAGTAAAAATCGCAAAGCTTTTGTAGAAAGTAAAAAGCTGATTCTGAAACTCTAGAAACATAAAGGGACACAGAACAGCCAAATCACTTTGATAAAGAATGAAGCTGGGCTGGCCATGGCAGCCATTAGGGGAGTGAACCAACGGAAGGAAGACCTCTCTCTGTCTCTCTCTCACTGTCTATAACTCTGTCTCTCTCTCTCACTGTCTAACTCTGCCTGGCAAAAATAAAAAAAAAAAAAATAAATAAAAAGAATGAAGCTGAATGGGCTGGCACAGTGGTGCAGTGGGTTAATGCCCTGGCCTGAAGCGTTAGCTTCCCATATGGGCGCCGGTTCGAAATCCGGCTGCTCCACTTCCGATCCAGCTCTCTGCTATGGCCTGGGATAGCAGTACAGGATGGCCCAAGTCCTTGGGCCCCTGCATCCACATGGGATTCCCAGAAGAAGCTCTGGATCCTGGCTTCAGATCGGCGCAGCTCTGGCCATTGTGGCCAACTGGGGAGTGAACCATCGGATGGAGGACCTCTCTCTCTGCCTTTCCTCTCTCTGTATAACTCTGACTTTCAAATAAATAAATAAATATTTTTTAAAAAGAATGAAGCTGAAGTACTAACACAATCTGATTTTAAGAATTATAATAAAGTTACAGTCAACAGTATGGTATTGGCAGTATTGGCATACAGACAAACAGATAAATGGGAGAGTTGAGTCCAGAAATACAGGCACACATATGTGGACAAGCGAGTTTTGATGAAGGTGCACAGGCAATTTAGCAGATAAAAAGTCGTCTTCAAAAAATGCTAGAGCCATTGCATATGCATACAAAAATAAATTTTGACTCATACCTTATGCCACATATATACATTAACTAAAAAATGAAAAGCATTTGGTGCAACAGTTAAGATGTCACTTAGGATGCCATATGAGAGTGGCTTGGTTTGAGTTCCAGCTGACTCCGATTCCAGCTTCCAGATAATGCACAAACAGGGAGGCAGCAGGTGACGGCTCAAGCACCTGGGCCCCTGCCACCTAAATGGGAGACCTGGATTCAGCCTGGCCTAAACCTGGCTGCTGTGGCATTTTGGGAGTGGAGCAGCAGACAGAAGATTGAATCTGTCTGTCTGCCTTTCAAGTGAATAATTTTTTAAAGTCAATGAATGGGTGAATGGATAAATATTGGTAGATCCATCCATAAAAGAGAATACAACTTAGCTGTAAAACGGAATAAAAGTTTGGGGGTAGGAGGGCGGGTATGGGGGGAAGAATTGCTATAATCCAAAAGTTGTGCCTATGAAATTTTTATTTGTCAAATAAAAGCTTTCTATTAAAAAAGTTCATGAAAAAAACATGGAATGAACTGTTGATACACACAACTTGGATGAATTCCCAGTTGTTCCTTTAATCCCATTTATTAAGCAGCATTAAAGAATCAAGATGGGAAAAAAAAAAAAAAGAGTACCTACTGAATGGTTGTTTATATAAAATTCTATGAAATGCAGATTTATCTTCAGCAATAGAGAGCATGTCAGTATCAGTGGTTGCCTGGGAACAGGAGAGGGAGATGTGAGAGGTGGTGGGCAGGGCAAGAGGATACATTTCATTACTTTGTGATGATGGTTTTAGATATATAGGTATGCTTACCTGCTTTAAATATGTGCTAGTTTACTGTATGTCAATTACACTCTAATTAAACAGGTTTGTGTTTGTTCAAGTAAGAACAGGTTCATTCTCTTGCAATCGGCATATTCTCTCTGCCTTTACTGATTATGTTTAGATGAACTTAAACACTAAAATTAATATGCAATCTATGCAAGGAATTGCACAACGTAACAAAAGGCAAGTTACCTACTTTCCTTAGGAGACGTCCAGTTTAGATTAAAAATCTTTTTCTGGCCGGCGCCGCGGCTCACTAGGCTAATCCTCCACCTAGCGGCGCCGGCACACCGGTTTCTAGTCCCAGTCAGGGCGCGGGATTCTTTCCCGGTTGCTCCTCTTCCAGGCCAGCTCTCTGCTGTGGCCTGGGAAGGCAGTGGAGGATGGCCCAAGTGCTTGGGCCCTGCACCCGCATGGGAGACCAGGAGAAGCACCTGGCTCCTGCCTTCAGATCAGCGCGGTGCACCGGCTGCAGCGCACGGGCCGTGGCGGCCATTGGAGGGTGAACCAACATAAAAAAGGAAGACCTTTCTCTCTGTCTCTCTCTCTCACTATCCACTCTGCCTGTCAAAAAAAAAAAAAGTGGACTCACGTAACTGATATAATAAGATTTTCATGTCTCAAAACAAAGGCCTAGAAACAACTTAAATGCAAGTGATGACTTCTTAAAGGCTGTTCTTAAGCTTCCTGTTTCCTGGTTATAACTGAATAAAATCTAAAATATAGAGTCAAAACTTCTTAAGTCTTGTATTTTACACTTACGCAATGACAAACTGAAAATAATTTCTCTCCTTTATTTTACTCTTAGGATAAATTTTACATTTAAAGAGGTGAAGCTACCTCAGTGACTGAAAACATATAGCAAAGTGTTAAGGGCAAGAGGTGTTGGGACACCGAATAAAGGCTATGGGACCTGTGGGTGACACCAGCCACCACGAAGTGGAGGTAGGAATTAGAAAAAGAGAGATAAAGAGGGGATATTGAGCACATCGAACAGTCTCAAGGTTGCTACAGAGAGTTCTAAAACTGGGGTGTAGTTTTTGAGAGGGGGAAAAAAGCCTTGGAAAGGCCTGGTAGGGAAGGTGATGGGGAATTCTTGGAGAAGAGAATGGCAAGCCACAGAGAAGGCCCAGCAAGGCTGGGAAACTCATCTTCCTTTTCCTGGCAAATCAGTCAAGGTACACCGTTTTCTCCAGTAACACTGGAATAAAAAGGGTTCTGAGAAGGAATGGTAGGCAGCAGTGACAAGATTGAGCAAGCCAGGTGAAGCTGAAGGGGGCTGCTCCAAGGACAGGGTTTTGTTCATGAAAAGGGAAAAAAAAAAAAAAAGTCCACTTTTGCAAAGAAGATCATCTAAAATCTTACACTGTCCTGTAACAAAAAGCCTTCTATGTTCCCTTCCTCTTCCACACCAAATCAAACGAAGCATTTTTGTCTCAGGCTCTGTGCTGGTATCTTTGCAGTCGCACTGGGCTTCCTCTCAAAGACACTGTTAAGTCACTGTGTCTGTACCAGTTTCCTGGACACCAGTGTGTGTCAACAGCTTCCTTTCGTTTACATTTAGCCTAGTAGACTGCTAGCCACATCCCACAGTTCTGACCTCCTGCTCTGTCTCCTTTCTAGCGAGATGCTGTGTCCTTTGCCAGGGTAAAATTTCACAAGTACTGAGAGTTAATGCAAGAATTTCGCGTTACCTTCTTTGTCCCACATCACTCATCAGCCTACTGCCAAGCTCCACCCCCCCACCTCACCCTGCATTGTAGCCCCCCCCCCCCAGATGCTTTGTGTAGGATCCTGAGCCACTTGTTAAAGTCAAGCTCCTGCCTCTCTGCCCCACACCCCAACACGACACTCACCCTGGATTTCTTCTCCCTCTGTCTTCCTGCCACCACCACCACCAAGGAAGCTGCTCTGTGTTCACTTTGCTCCCACTGTACAGTCTCTCAATGATGGGTTTCTAGTAAGTTTCTACTGGGGTTTGGCAGCTTCTTTTTAGTGTCCACTATAGGCCAAATATTAAGCAAAATAAGTCCTGTGTCTTTCTCCAGGGAGGAGAGCACTGAGTGTACACAGGAATGCACGAGACTAGGAGGTAGCCAGACCCAAAATTCCACAGAAAATACTAACAGTTTCAACTCAGCCTTCAATTTTTTTTCCAATCCCAAAGAACTGCTGAAAACAGGGGACCCCATCCAGATCTTTCTTAAGTACATGTTGTGTGCTGCTGAGTGGAGAGGAGTGAGACAGCAGAAGAGAGCATTTAATGATTCCCACATAGGGCAGGCTCAAAGGCCCAAGGTTGGAGAGAACCTAGAGACAACTCTTAACACCATGGTTTGGGGGACCCACTCCCTCACACAGGAATGTGTCACTCTGTTCATTCATGCCTTTATTGGTGACAGCAATGGGCAAGAACAATGCCAGGCATAGCAGATACCCCAGCCCAGCACCTGGGGTGCCAGGCAGGCCCTGCAGGGCCATCAGCACATCCTGCCCAAGATCCAGGCTACCCAGGCCAGGTCCCAGAATGGGCAGCAGGCCGTCTGTCCAATTTGTGTGCTTGGATCAGTTTGTCTGAGTGTCTGAGCCGCGGCCTGCAAGGCACCCCCATCCTCGGCACCTGGTAGGGGCTGCTGGAAGCACAGCGTGGCATCCCGCGGTGGACCACTGGGCCCCGCTGCCGACCACGGGGGCCAGGGACTTGCGATGGCAGGAGGCCAGGCACAAAGTTCACTCCAGGGCAACATCCTACAAAAGAACCAGTCACTCTCAGAGTGGGCTTTGGGCCAGGGGGAAGCACGGCTCTGTTTTCAGGCAACTCTGGTCCTCCAGGGTAAGTTTCTCTGGGCTTCAGCTTCCCCATCTGCAGAACGGGGGATACCACTTCCCCGACTTCCAGACTGGGAGACTATGACGAGTAACAACCTGATTAATTAGTCTCCAAAGCCGTTCCACATCGGGGACTTCTGCAACCACACCCAATTCTGGGGCACAAGGGGTTACCCAACTCTCCTCAGTTCATCTGGGCAGTAGGCTGGGTGGGAGGAGCAAGGGGGGTCTGGGAGAGGTGTGGGGGGCAGCTGCGGAGACACCTACCTAAGTGGGGTGCCATCGAGAAGTCCTCCATTGGTTTAAAATTGAAGAATTCATGGGGTGGGAAGGTCTGGCCGGGGAAAAGGGGGACATCCTGGGGCAGGGGTGGGAACACAGGAGGCAGCAAGGGCTGAGGGAGGGAGTAGGGGAAAGGTAAGGGAGGAGGTAAAGGAGAGGGCAGGGGTAGGGGCAAGGCCAGCTGCTCCCCGAAGCCTGGGGGCTGCTTATGGCTCCCCTGGAACGGATGATCCGTCTCTGGCCAGTCCTCAATCCACGGGTCTAGGAATGGGATGGTTGTTTTAGGTAGGCCTGGGCAGCCAGGCTGCCCTGAACTCTGGCCATCCACACTTCCACAGCTCACTTCTGTCTCTCAGAGAACTGGGCCAACAGGCCGGAACGCCCAGAACCTTCTCCTGCCCTCTCATTCCAGGCCAAGCCCCAGGTGTGCTGCTTTTTCCTGCCCTTCAGATCTACCTTTGCTCTGACCTTACACTCTCCCCCCAGAGTTCCTGCCGGGATCGGCCCAGTTCTATTACGTCTTCAGATCTGTTTTTCTACCAGGCTCCCCACCACAGACCGGTAAATAAGCCAAACATAAAGATCCTGCCACTCCCTTCTCCCACTAATCCCCTTTTCCCTCCAAACTTCCACAAGGAACCTTTGGCCCAAATTTTCCCACTCCCTCATCAGCCTCTTGTAAGCTTTTCCCACATTCTCAACACTTGTCCTACCAATCGTCACTGCTCACCAACCACGTTCACAGGCCCCTTTCTTCCCACGTCACCAGACATCACAACAGCCTATGTCTCCCTGAAGGGCCTCTGCCTGCCTCTGTCTCCGCCGTAGCAGCTCTTCCTTCTGACCCCGTGTGAGCGCTGTCTGCTCTCTGTCACCATTCACGCTGAGGCCCTCTGCTTCTGACTCTCTTGAGTGCCACTGACTACCACACAGATCTGCTCTAATCAATCTCACCAAGTCAGCCTTCCACCCCAAATCAATCCTTCCTCAATTTCCGTAGCTCCAAGGAGATTTAGAAGGCCTGGGCCACCATCAATCAGCCTTATAATCTTTAACAATCCCTCTCTTTGCTGGGGACCAATTCTCTCATCTAAACAAAATAAGGAAAGTGGAGCATTATAGAATCAAAATCCTGATTCACCTCCCTGACACTCCAACTCCTGGCCGCCAAGTCCTACAAGATTGCTGGTTCCTCTGGGCCCCCATACCCTCTATGTCGTACTGATGCTTCCAATTCAGCACACTTTACCCCAGAGGCACCGCATGCATAGCACCAGTGCCAGACACTGGAGCCAAAAGGGCTGAGCCATCAACAAGGCAGGGAACCTGCCCTCTGGGGACGTGAACACAGGGGAGCAGCAGACAGCGGAACCACCAGCCATGATGTGCCCTTTGTGAGCATACATGGACTGGGAGGCAGAGGAGACAAACATGACATGATGGGGAGCAGTGCCTCCAAACAAGCAGGAGGAGTGGGGCCCTCAGAGGCTGCCTCCAATGACTCCGAGATTGGGCAGAGGGGAGCTGCACCTGTCACGACCAGTGACATGGGGACTCTGAGACTTAACTGAGGAGCTTCTAGGATGCTGTCTGTTGAGCTCGCCCAAATGAAACTACCCTTCCAAAGCACCCCGGGATACACTACATTTCTGCTCAATAAGCTTCCAGCTGACCATGCACCACCCCCATCTCCCAGCTGATGGGCTTCCTTCCTTCCGCCACACTGCCGGGGCTGCCCTGCTCCCCACACACACGCCCAAGTCTAACTAGGAATATCCCCACTTCCTGTTCATCCCTGCTGCCACTATACATGGTCACTCACGTGCACAGAGGAGACTACAGGGCCAGGTCATACAGAACTTGCATTTGGACTAAAATATTGTTGCTGTGATCCAACCATCCCCAGGGGATAAGGAAGGGGTACCCAGGAGTCACCACCGTTCTGAAAGGGACCCCAACTCTCCTTGACTCCCTTTGCCCCGTGATATTTCTGAGCCCGGTGCTCTGGGGGCCCGTGCAGCATCACTACCCTCTCCTCTAGGGGTAGGACTCACCGGGGGGACTGTCACGCTTGGGCAGCTCCACGCCCCAGGCATCAGCCACATGGGTCAGAAGCAGGTGTGAGAGGTGGCGGTGTGCATGCTGGTCCCAGTGGACACCATCTCGATGACGGTGTCGTACGGCATGCCGGAAATGAAAGTGGAGGTCTAGGACGTCGAAACAGTGGTCTCCAGCCAGTGTCGCGCTGTAGAAGTTCCCTTCAACCACGTCCCGCCGCAGAGAGCCAGCCAGGGGCTGGAGCTAGGTGTGAAAGCACAGCCTCTAAGAGCCACAGGATGCAGCAAGGGTGGGAAGGATTGTCTTCCATCTACCAGCTCTCTGCACCATCCCCCCATCCGAAGGGGCCCCAGTCACTTGCCTCTGGCAGGAGGAAACCCCCAGTGACACGCTCCCCCAGGGGCATTGCCATGTTCCACACCAGCAGGCAGGAGTCAGGCAACACCTGGTCCATGCGCACAAATACTCGCTCCAGGTTTTCCCGGTAGCTCTCCATGGAGCAGCGGCCATATCTGTTGGGTTATGCATAGGATGGGCATGAATGTGGGGTGCACAGCCTCTAAGCTGTACCTCCACCCTCAACCAGTGCCTCCCCTTCCCCACCCCAACCTGGAGAGATCCCAGAGGCAGGAGTTGATGATGACCAGGTCCGGAGCAGGCCCGTAGGTCAGCTCCTCCAAGACGTCCTCGAGGTACTCGGAGTAAACGCGAGTGAGGAAGTAGAAGCGCACAAGGTGGTGGCCAGAACCCGAGCAGAACTGGCGGACCTCGCGGTACTGCGTCCCGTTGTGCAGCTCGCCTAGCTGGCCCCCAGCGACCAGCTGGTCCTGTTCAAAGCTCAGCTCCCCCTGCCCCCCGCCCCCCAGTCAGACCCACGCCAGGGAGGAAGATCCTGCCAGGCTGGGGTCTGCACCCACCCACCACTGGCATCACTACTAGTCTTCCCTCACCTTGGCTTTCAGCTGGGCAGCTGTGAGCAGTGAGTCTTTCTGCAGCAGAAGCACCAGGTCCTTGTACACAGCCCGCTGGACTGTGGGGAGACAGAGACCCCAAGGCTGAGGCAGACCTCACCCCGTCCCAGCCCCTCACAAGTCCAGGCCTCCCTGCTTCCCAGGACTGGCCTGCCCAACACCAGCGCTGTGTACTGTTGCCTCTGAGGCAGGAGACATGATGAGGTTTGAGTCTAGGCACTGGGCGAGCCTTGTGGCTTACTGGGTTAAGGATGGAGACCTGCTCTTGCTCCTAATCCAGCTGCCTGATAATGAACCTAGCAGACGGCTGCTGATGACCCATGTAGTTGGGTCCCTACCACCCACATGGGAGACTTAGTTGGAGATCCTGGCTTCTGGCTTCAGCCTGGGTATTTAGCGAATGGGCAAGCAAATGGAAAATCTCTCCTCCTACTTCCCTCCCTCTCTCCCCTTCCCTCTGTCTGCTTTTCAGATAAATCTTTCAGAAGGGCAGCTCTGTTCCTTCTAGCTGTGCCCCTCTGGGCCCATTCCGATCATCTGGCAGAAGCTGGCCAGTTCTCCAGGGAGGCACAAAACACAAAGCACCGCTCCCACTGAGGGAAATTAGGGGGGACTGTCAGGGGCTGAACAGTGCCCAAGCTACATCTGCCGGGATACCTGCGGAAGGTGTGTGGGAATAAAAAGACCGGAAAAATCTAATGGACTAGAACCGTCCAGAGGGTGGAAGGGGTCTGAAACAGAGTCTAAGGCTGGGCACATACAGAACAGGATACAGCTGCACAACTGGGAGAGTCGCCCTAGAGGGGCACTCACTGGAGTCCCCCAAGATGACCACGAACTTGTTGTGTAGTAGCTGTTGCACTTCCGAGGCCTGGAAGTGGACCATGGCGCTTCGCGACAGGCGGCGCGCCTCCTTGTTCTTCAGACAGAAGACCATGCCGCCACCAGCGACAGCGACGAGCTACGGAAAAAAGCCACTAAGCTGCGCGATGGCGGGGACTTTCGCAGTTCGGCGGCCCCAGGGCCTACCTCCATAAAAATGAGACCCACGCCAGCCCCCTGCGGGGCTGTTCAGAGCTCCAGCAGGAGGCGGCGGCTGAAGGGGACCCAGGGTGGCGCCGTCTCCGGTCACGCTTGGCACTAAAGCTAAGGGGTCAACAGGTCCGCGGGCCTCCAGGGCACTGAGGTGATTCCCGCGCGGCGCCGCCCTGCGCCCAGCCACGTGCCCGCCGCCGGCTCGCGCATGCGCGCGCTCCCGCTCGCGCCAATTACCGAGTATCCGGGCTCTGCGCCGTTCAGTCGCTAGCAGGGTAGGCCGGAGCGCCGCGCGCCTTGCCTGCAGCGGGCTCCTGGCCAACCCTCATGTTCCCGTACCCTAGGAGGCCAGTCGGTTCTGCAGAGCCCGTGCGTCCCGGCTGGCCGTCGGCGCGCAGCCCGGGACCTGGTGCTCTCCATGCGTGCGTCGCGGTGGACCCGACGGCGCCTCGGGCCTCGGCGCCCGAAACGGCGATGCTCACAGCGCCCACTTCCGGTCACCCATGTCCTGTCCTGCGCGACCCCCCCAACGCCCAAGGGGAGGGCAAGGCGGCGGGGGTGGCCACCGCGCGGGGCGGGAGCCAGGGCCGGACCCACCCGGGCGCGGGGGGGGGGGGGGGCGCGGTAGCGGCCAAGTGCGGCTGCCCACAGTGGTGATGGCCGCGATGGTGGCCTCGGCACGTGACCCAGACGGGCGGAAGCGGAAGTGCCGGTCTGGGGCCCGCACCGGTGGATGTCCCCTTAGCGCTTCTTAGCCACCGCCTGCACCAGCGATGGACTGCTACACGGCGAACTGGAACCCACTCGGGGACTCTGCCTTTTACCGGTGAGACGCCCCGCCCACGGCCCGGCTTACCCCGTTTGCCCGCCTGCTGGAGTCTCCGGGGCGGAGCCGCCGGCGCTGTCACTTAACGCTCGGCGGCCTGGGGCAGGGAGCCGGGCTCTCCCTTGCTCCAGAGAAGGAAACTGAGGCAAGCACAGTGGTCACCCGGAAGCCCAGGCCTGTGAGCCTGCGGAGGGGTGCTGGGATCACGTTGCGGGAGGCCGCCCGCGGGTGAGAGAGAGTGCCCAGTCTCCTGCCGGCGAGTGGTGCTGAACGCAGACCCTCGGGGCGCTCCGAGGGGGGCGGGGTCGCACGGCGGGCGGGGTAACGGTGTTGACCAGGGCAGGGAGAAGGGGGCGAGTTGTCCGCGAGTCTCGCAGCAGCCGTCACGGGAATTGGAGGGTCCCAGACCACGGATCCTTCTGAAGTGTTACCCGACCACATCATGACTCTGATTAGGACTTTTCAATGGCTTCCCTTCCTTGTAGGCTAGAATACAAACTCCCTGAGGAACATTTATCCATCAGTCGGCCTCTGTGTATCTCTGCAACCTCATTCGCCTTTCTCCTACCCAAATCTGTGTATTAGCTGCGCAGAGTAACAGGGCTGCGGCACAGCGTGAGGTTTCATGGGCCCCTGGGTTTGCACCAGCCTGTAGTTCCTTCGGCGGGCACTGACAGTTCCCATTTTCTCTCACGGAAGAGTTCTTGCTCATCTTCAGGACTTAGTTCCAGGGTTCTTCCCAGGACCTTCCTTGACCTTCCCCAAGTAGAATCCTGGGGGCTCCAAAAGACCCAGTGCTGAGGTCTGTTACCTATATGCAGCGGGGTAATATTTGCATAGGTTTCTCCTGCCAACCCATGCTCCTTGAAGGCTGAGGGCACGATGCTGGCATCTCTTTACCTCCGAAACTCATTTTTAAGAGCACCTGCTCCGTAATAGTTGCCCAGTAGCTTTTGAAAAGTATTTTATTCATTGCAACCAAAAATCACAAAGAGGTTACTTCAGGGTCTTTGTGCTAATGAAGCTGTATCCTAGTCTCATTCATTTCTTAACACTTTTAAATGTAATGTTTGATATACTCCTCAGAGGGACAAATACCTTGTGGTAATTTTTAGCAGTCTGTTGTGTGTGTTGTTTGTTTATAATTCTCTCTTAGAAATATGCCTATGCCATATGAAAAAATTGCAAAAACCCTAGTTAAAAGTCGGTTAGGAAACAACTTCCCACGTGTCAGTGATGAAGGGATAGGAACTGACAAAGGTAGTGTGTCATTTGGTGTTTGCACACCAGCTAGCTGACACAGCATTTACTTTTTAAAATATTGATTTTAATTTGGTTACTTTCAAAAATACGTGTTGCCTACCCAGGTGTATTAAAAATCAGAGTACTGAAGGCAGTGACCACACTACTGCAGAGCTACTGCTTGTCATATCAAGTCTTAGCTTTGCTGATGTACCAGCAAAGTTTTGAAAGAACAGAAGTGCTGAGAGCAAGCCATAGAAAAGACCTGAATGGCAAACCTACGCTCACCTATGTTGTCCTCCTAGCAAGGAGTAGGGATCTTAAGTCCTGCTGCAGAGGAAACCTATGCTGAAAGTTGGCAACAGATACTGAGCATTTCTTATGTACTAGACACTGTGCTAAGTACTTTATGGCTATTAACTTGCTGAGGTCTCGCAACTCTATGGGCATAATTAGCCTCATCTAATTGATGAGGAAGCTGAGACACATAGGAGAGACCAGGCCACACACAGCTAGGATGTGATAGAGCCAGGATTCGAACCCAGACAGTCCTGTAGGATTGTTTTGTTTTGTTTTGTTTTGTTTTTGACAGGCAAAGTTAGACAGTGGGGGAGAGAGAGAGAGAGAAAGGTCTTCCTTCCGTTGGTTCACCCCTCAAATGGCCACCACAGGCGGCGCTGCGCCGATCCGAAGCCAGGAGCCAGGTGCTTCCTCCTGGTCTCCCATGCGGGTGCAGGGCCCAAGCACTTGGGCCATCCTCCACTGCCTTCCTGGGCCACAGCAGAGAGCTGGACCGGAAGAGGAGCAACCGGGACAGAACCAGCGTCCCAACCAGGACTAGAACTCGGGGTGCTGGCGCCACAGGCGGAGGATTAGCCTAGTGAGCTGCGGTACCAGCCTTTGTTTTGTTTTTTAACAGAAATATGTAAGAACATATTCTAGCTGCTCCATCAGAGTGGAAATGCTTTAAGGGTAGGTGTTTGGTTTTGTTCCTGTGTGTGCATAGCCTTGTGCATAGCCAGGGCTTAGTCCATGTTCATGTAAGTGACTGGATGATAAAAGAGGTGGCAGATGTTGATGTCGAGGCCTGCCTGCGGGACAGGGATCTTTTGCATTGGAAGCAGTGTTGTGGAGAACTCACTGAATTTGGAAAGCAGAGATGCAGTGGTGACCAGTTCTTATGGGTCTCCATTTTTATCCTAAGAATGCAATTTAGGCTAATCCCGTTAGTTAATTTGGCCCAACCCTTAAGAGACACAGACCCTGCCTACCCTGATAAAGCTTAAAGCCAGCAGGTGAGACAGTTGACAACCAGTATTTGTTGGATCATAACCACTATGAAGGAAAGATACAGGAACACACAGCCTAAGAGAACATACAGCACTGAGGGGTCAGAGGTAGAGAAGGCTTTCTGAAAAAATTTTAAAAAATGATAATTCCCCATCCAGGGGATGAGTAGACTTGGGTGCAGGGAGTGGGATGGAGAAGAACATAGACAAAGGTCCTGAGGCAGGAAGGATGGTGGCTTTCCCAGGGACGAAAGAGAGCCGTTGTAGCTGGAAAGCCTAAGACAGCAGGGGCAGGACAGGAGATGAGGCTGCAGCCCTTCTTGTGAGGTCATACCCTTCGGGGCCTGCAGGCCACCTTTATCTGACCAACACAGGAAACCTAAATTAAAGGGTCTTCAAAGGTTGATGCCATTGAATTTGCAGGGCAGGGGAGCAGTGTTTTAAGTTCCTTCCAGAGGCAGTAGGGGGAGCAAATGAGAAGGAGCAAGCAAGGGAGACTGATAGGAGCCTGGTGGGACAGAGCAGGAAGAGTTTGAGGGTGGTGAGCGCTGAGATGGTGATGGCGGAGACTGAGAGAAGGGGGCGAAATGGAAGGAGGTTGGGTTACTGCACTTGGTGGGGAGGAGGAAGAGCAGAGAATCAAGGAGGACTTGGGTTTTTGATTTAAAATCTTGAGAAAGGAAGAGCGAATCTGGGGGAGGCAGGACCTTGGTTTTGAACACACTGTCACTTTAGAAATGTCTTTATGGTAGACGAGAGTAAGGATACGTTATATATTCCTGAAAATACTTTTAGATTATTCTAATACTTACATGTTTACTTTATTTTGCTTTTTTGCATATGTAAGTGTGAACTTTCTAAAAATTGTGGTTAAATATACATATTGTAAATTAGACCATCTTCATCATTTTGACTGTGTAGTTTAATGGTGTTAAGTATATTCACAGTAGTGTACCACAGTCTCAAACCTTTTCATCTTGCAAAACTGAAACTCTGCACTTAGTGAACAGTAACTAGCCCTTCCCCTCTCTACCAGCACCTGGCACCCACCATTCCATTTTACATCTATGAATTTGATGACTCCAGGTACGTCATATAAGTGGAATCATACAGTTTTCGTCTTTTTGTGACTGGCTTATGTCACTTAGCACAATGTCTTCATGGGTCATCCATGTTGTAGCACATGTCGGAATGTCCTCCCTTTTCTTTCTTTCTTTTTTTTTTTTTTTTTTTTTGACAGGCAGAGTGGACAGTGAGAGAGAGAGACAGACAGAAAGGTCTTCCTTTGCCGTTGGTTCACCCTCCAATGGCCGCCGCGGCCGGCGCACCGCGCTGATCCGATGGCAGGAGCCAGGAGCCAGGTGCTTTTCCTGGTCTCCCATGGGGTGCAGGGCCCAAGCACCTGGGCCATCCTCCACTGCACTCCCTGGCCATAGCAGAGAGCTGGCCTGGAAGAGGGGCAACCGGGACAGAATCCGGCGCCCCAACCGGGACTAGAACCCAGTGTGCCGGCGCCGCTAGGTGGAGGATTAGCCTAGTGAGCCGCGGCGCCGGCCCTCTTTTTTTTTTTTTTGACAGGCAAAGTGGACAGTGAGAGAGAGACAGAGAGAGAAAGGTCTTCCTTTTGCCGTTGGTTCACCCTCCAATGGCCGCCGTGGCCGGTGCGCTGCAGCCTGCGCACCGCTCTGATCCAATGGCAGGAGCCAGGAGCCAGGTGCTTTTCCTGGTCTCCCATGGGGTGCAGGGCCCAAGTACTTGGGCCGTCCTCCACTGCCTTCCCAGGCCACAGCAGAGAGCTGGCCTGGAAGAGGGGCAACCGGGACGGAATCCGGCGCCCCATCTGGGACTAGAACCCGGTGTGCTGGCACCGCAAGGTGGAGGATTAGCCTAGTGAGCTGCAGCGCCGGCCAAGAATGTCCTCCCTTTTCAAGGCTGAATCATATTCCATTCGTCTGAGCACTACCTTATGCTTATCCTTTCACCTGTCAGTGGACCCCTGGCTGTTGTGAAGGATGCTGCTGTGAGCACGGGGGTGCAGAAGCCTCTCTAGGGCTCGGCTGTCCATCCTTCCGAGTGCATTCCCAGAAATGGAATTGCTGGATCCTGGTGTGCTTAATTTTTTGAGGACTGCCATACTGTCTTCCATAGCAGATGCTGCACCTTTTTACATTCCTAGCAGCAGTTCCCAAGAGTTCTTTGGTAGTGTTTGTTTTTGAGACAGGTCTCTCTTTTGGGCATGGGGGTTTTGCCACTGCTGGGTTATAACCAGAGGCTAGACCTGATGTGCCTCTTGCCAGTGGCCTGCTGCCCGAGCTGTTTTCACACGAGGGCTCTTCTCACACCCTGATGGGCCACGCTTCTCCAGCAGGAATGCCCCTGGGATTTCTTCTCTGTTTCCTGCAGGGGGCTGGCACGGAGGCCATCAGAAGGCCTCCGCTTAGTGATTTCCGGGTGTTAGCACCCAGGGTC